TTGTAAGCCACTGCCACCTCGACTTTGTAGCCTCTCCAAGGCCTTCAAAGACAGGCATCTAGCATTGCCTTGACATCAGGGGAAACGGAATTCCAAAATCTTGCACACAAGCCTTTCATGGCTGCCCCGATAAAAACAATGCTGAATAGCTTGAAGAGCCATGTATCAGCTCAGCCTCAAACCCAAGAATCGCACATCAAATAAACGGCGGCCCATTTGATTAATGATGAACCAAGGTGACCACGGCGTCTCCCAGCGGAGCGCTACCTCCGCAACCTCTTCCAGTGGGCAGGGTAGTGGCTTGTCAGCTTAAGCTTCATGGGATCAACTTTACCTTTGAGGGATTACTTTGTGGGTTTTTTAGTCTACCTTCCACTTAAGACGACTGTTGTTTTGACTGGTTCAAAGCTAGATGGTCCAGGCACACCGTGATTGGATCATGTTGCTGGTTCAGCCATTCCTTTCAGGCTCCAACTCCGGCGCCGAAAGCCAGACCTAGTGAGCCTTCATCAGAACCTCCTGCACCTTCGCCTGTGATCCTTGTGGAGGAGGACTGGCGCTATGCCGCGGCATTTGATGACAACATAATTGGTTGCGAGAACATGCGTGTGAAGGTGTTGTTTGTCAAAAATCATCTAATCTACAGTAGGCCTTTGCTGGGGTTCAAGATCAGGTCGCACAAATGAACATCCCAGCAAGACTCAAACGTTCGCACAGGAGACAGAGGAGGCGGAGGAGACGCTGGAGAAGTTGTGGGACAGGAATGGCAACTATGTGCAGCTCGGTTGGCCTGGCTTGCTTGTCTCACATTTTTCATTTTGCTAAAGGAAGGGGTCCGCGCACGTGATCTTCTCTTCTTCTTTTTCTTCTTATTCTCCTTTTTCTTCTTCTGCTCTACTACTTCTTCCTCTTTTCTGGCGCAGTCTCGAGTCTCAATCTTTCAACTCAGGTCAAAGATCCCATTTGGCGACGGTGGCTTCCACGTGTTCTTGGGTGGGAAGTTTGACTACCGCTTTCTTGACCGTTTGGCTGCTGGCACCAAGCTCTTCATCATCAATTCGCAATCGCCTGAGAAACTTGGATGAGCTTAGATTTATCTGAAACTTTGTTGGATTTGTTTTTGATGTTGTCTTCATTCACACTGGCAGTTTTGTCGTTCGATTCTGATCCTGGATTATGTTCCTGATTCTGATCAGGGAGAAGAACCACGACACCGCGATCAAGGAGTTGCAGGAGCTTCGGCGGCAGTGCACTGGCTTGGAGGTGCGCCTGGAGTTTTTTCAACCCGAACTTCAAGCATGCGCGCCAGGAAGAAGAGTGCCTTGGCGATCTACTTCAAGACTTGGTTGGGCATTTTGGTTCTAGAGTTCCATGTTTTGCAACATGACATGACTGTCGGATGTTTTCCATGTGTTTCCATGGTTTGTTCCATTTGTTGCAATTTCCTGATTATGAAAAAATGTCTTTTGGGTGTCTTCCAAAACTTGGGTTGGCCAAGTTTTGGTTTCAAAAGAAATGGGTTTCAGCCATTTGAGATGGACATGATTCATGATTGGTAAAGGGTCGGGTCCACCTATCTCGCCCCAATTCGAGGTTGATCAATCTCTTGAAGGTGACCTTCGAGCGCTTGCGCGATGGTTGGCAAGTGCTCTGCCACTGCAACAGCGGCTTCCACAGATCGCCGCAAGTGGTCGCTGCGATGGTGCGGGTGGCTGGCTGGATGTGGTGGGATGAGGCAGTGTCTTGGCTGATCTTGGATCATTAGTCGTCATTAGTTGTCATTAATCTGATCTTGGATCTTGGGATGAAGGTCAAACTACTCGTCATTAGTCTTTGGTTTCTTTTCGATAGATTTGAAACTCTCTTCAGCAATGACTTTGACGGTGTCTCACATGCTCTGAGTTGGCGTACGTCAGCCGCCACCGCCCGCAAGCGACCTTCGGACGGCATCAAGAGTGACTCGGAGTTGCTTCAATCATATTTTCCTTAAAGCACCTAAAGCACCGGCGATAACACCCTCAGGCCTCTATGATCTTTGTCTTTGTAGGCTAAGTACAGGACGCTTTTGAGCTGTGTTTGTCTGAAGCTTGCGCTTCCTGTAGCTGAGGTTTGGTGATCTTGTGGAGGAGTTGAAGTATGAGCTGTGGAACGCCATTGACCCTTAAGGGGCGTGAGGGCCGTGAGTGGAAAAGGGCCACCTCTTCTAATTGTCCATGTTTGCACTGCGCTGATGTGAAAGCTTTGCTCATTATTGTTGATTCTATCTTGGGATGTTGCGTTTGCTCTCAAGCCTGCAGGATTTCTCCACCTGCCGCGCCGTTTCGCCCTGGATCTCAGTAAAAGGTGCGGGAGTGAGGTAGGCTAGCATGTGAAATAGAAGCTTTGTTGGCTGTTCTTTTTAAAGTTTGGTGGTAAGCAAAATAAACTTCCAAGTTTGGTCATTGTTGCTTGCTGTTCTTCCAAATCTTGGAGCGTGAATGAAGCTTCCAAGTTTTGGTCTGTTCTTCCAAAACTTGAAGCTTCCAAGTTTTGGTCTGTTCTTCCAAAACTTGAAGAATGAAGCTGCCAAGTTTTGGTCCTGCTTGCGGTTCTTGAAAAGCTTGGCTTGAAGTGTTTGGTTATTGTCCCTTGTGATATGTGAAATATCAATAGTTGATCTTCCTAAGCTTTGAACAGTGTTAAAGCTTTATGGACAGCGGGTTCTTTGCTCTAATTTTTTGTTTGAATTGCAAACTGCTTGGGACACATGACTGTATCTGTGAATGGCCCAGGAAACGTGCCTGTGAGTGCCTCCAAGTTCCTGGCTGGTGATCAGTCCGATCTTCAGAAGTCTTGACCTGGGAGCGCGCCAGTGCAGGATAAACTAGCCAATGGAGCCAACCTAAAAGTATCAACAATGACTTCATCTCATGAATTGCCAATTCTTTTTTTAAGCTAACCATTTCAAAGCCAAGCTACCTACCAAGCTACTACCCAAGCTACTACCAAGGGAATATACATACAAAAAAGCTAGACATACACATACAAAAAGCTAGCGAAGTCATCTTTTAGCCCTAAAGATTACTTCGCTAGATTGGGCTGTGGATCTTCCACCCAAAAGAACATCCACATGGCCTTCCCAGAAACACAAACCACGACCAAGAGAGCTTTTGCAATTGGTGCAATTGATGTGCGCAGCCCCTCCCCGCTGCGCACGGTGGTGCCCTCCAGCAAACGTCCAGCGCCCCCCCCCAATCAAGTCCTGGCCACTCCAAGGACGACACAAGTCAGGAAATGCCTCAAGGCGTGCAAAACAACGAACTTCAAGGAGTCAATTACATCTCAAGTCACAAACTTATACAACTTTGATTGAAAGCACTTCAAGGCACATATCAAACAGAAAAGCCTGGCCAGCAGATAATTAAGGGGCAGGCCAAAAGCTCCAGGCCTACATCCAGTGTCGTCAATCCATGCCTGGCACTGGTGCCACTCCAAGGACAACACATTAGTTCAGAAGTCAATCGTCAAATCTTAAGTCAAATCGCAGGCCACTACCCGATGCGCACGCTATCTTTGCATGTATAGCTTACGTTTGTGAGCTGCATCTATTTCGCAGAATTCACCGCAGGATTAAAGCCAAGGGCCACTGTACACAAAGTGGCACGGGCTGAACAAATCAAATTTGTTCATCTCAGCGCTCAACTACTACGGGCTGAACAAAATTGTTTATCTCACAACGCATCATCAACTCCGCTGTGAGGGTCCTGCCAGTCTCGAGGGGGGGCCCTCAACATGAAAAAGTGGTAGTGGTTCAAGAAGTTTTGGTTCTGACACCCTCTGTCGGACATAGTCGCAGTGCACCATGCTTTTGCCCCTTCTGTCAACAAGAGAAGTTCAAGCGCAGTTGGAGCCCTTGTCAGTGGGAAGCTCGTGCAGCGGAAGTAGGCCCCTTCAGTGGGTGCCGGGACTGCGACCAGTCAGACCAAAGAACGATGGAGGCTCGAGAAAAAGTGGTGGAGCTCTTTGAGGAGCTGCTTCCCTTCCAAAGCACGACGTTGGAGCAGGGGCTAACCCGCGCCCGAGCGCTGGACCACAATGAGCGCGAATGGTGGCACAACTAGACTGGTGACTCCCCAGTGGGAAGGTTGGAAAGATCTGTCGTCGAAAAAGACTGTGGGCCCTTTGGTGGAGCGTGCACTCTCTCTCCACTGCACTGCTGACGAACTTCTCGACGACTGGATGACTTGCATTGCCCGCTTTGTTATAACAGGGTGGCAACATGGTTGCAGCTATGGTAGAACAATGTTAACACATTAGCACTGTAAGCAAGCGACATAGTGAAAACTGACTGCCGCAACATCATGAACGGTACTTCCAAGAGACACATGGTCACATGTGTTTCTTGTGTGGCCATGCTTAGGCAATTGCAAATGTAGCCATGTTTTGGCAATTTCTTCAAAGTTCTTTTTTTGCAAGTTCCTGCTATAGCTGTGTGCCACTACCATGTATATAGACACGACCTATATATATATACAAATATATAGATAAAGACACTACCAGCCATGATCCCTATAGATAAACAGATACTGTATATAATATGCCCAGCCTTGCGGTCAAGCATGACATTCCTGAAGTCCACAACGATGCATGAAGCAGAACCGCACGCACCACCACCCTGGAATGGCATGACTTTAGTGCACAGGTCTGGTGGCAGTGAACCAAATGCATAGTAGAGAACGTCGTGTTTTTGTTCATGTTTTGTTTTGTGGAGACTCTTGCGGTTTAAGAGATCTGCAGTGAGACTGCTCTGACTGAACCAAAACACATAACTCATAACTGCACACTTGCAACACACGACCCTGGAAACAACACGCACTGCACACAAATTTTGCACCCCTCTTCAGTGATGGTCCCTGCTTTTGGACCCACTGCCCCTGGTGTGCAAGGTTTGGTCAAAATTCTGCTGTTTCCCTGCTGGGCAAGGCTTGGTACAGCATCCACCATTGCTGTTCAAAAACTACTCAGGTTTTGCGAAGATTCTTCAACTGGTTCATGAGAACGTCGATTGACGACCCCCCACCAGCAGCAGGTGTACCACTGCTGGAAGATCCATTGGAAGTTCTTGGCTTCTTGCCAGCTGCGGTCTTGGGGTCCGTGCCCTCAGTGACTTCAGTGCCTTCTTTGGTTTCAGCTGCGCTGGCTCCACCACTGGCATTCTCCTCGGCGGTCTTTTCCGTGGTCTTCTCAGGCTTCTCAATGTCAGCTGTTGCCTTTCGCTTGTTCTGCCCCTTCTTTGTCACCGCCGCCTTCTGGTCGTCACCCTTCTGAGCAAGCAAGGCACACAACTTGGCATCATGGAGCGGAGACTTTTCATCTAGCATTGCTTCGTACACCAGCTCACCCAGGTGTTTGTATCCAGCAACGACATGAGCCTCCGTGAAGCAAATCCCCAGGTAGGGGGGTCTTGCATTCCAAAGCCACAAAACCCGGGGTCAGGTCGGAAGCTGTGAAATCAATGATCGCTTTGGGTGACCACACAGCAAACATGTCCCTGTAGAAATCAGGGGGGCATGCCATGGTAGCAAAACGGCTCGTACAAAGTGGATTCATCTCCTCCTGTAGGTGCCCTGGTGAGTTCCTTCTTCTTGAACTGGGTCCTCTTCCCTGACTCTGAGGGAGCTGTCTCTGTGGCGCCACCCACTGCCACCCGATAGGTGGAATAGATCTTCTTCTTATCATCTTCGGTCACTTGCCATAAGCGCTGGGCATAGCTCTCCAGATTGATGGGGCCGATGATGAGATCTCCTGAGGAGCTCCCTGCATAGATGGGATGCTTGACCTCTGGTATGTCAAGATTGCTCTTGGTGAAGGTATGCATCATCTCCACCTGCAAAAGGGGCAAGTTTGGCCAGACCATGTGAAATAAATACAGCACCATTTTGACAAACATGACAACAAAGCATTTAATTACTGAAAGAACCTGGATCACACCCATCACCATGATCATTGCCATCAACCCTTGCTGGCCTGGTGCAAGCTACCTGTACCACGAACCAGGCCACGACGAGACCGCAAAGAATCTTCAGAGTATGTCAAGAACAAGGTGCGTCTCTCGTGCTGGATGCGCTTACTGTCTTCGGTCACGAACAGTCCGGAAAAGGTCCTTTCATTTCCTTACTTAATTCAGCAAAATAGGTGACATGGTGAAATCTCCAGCGAAAACATTCCATAAGAATATATAAGAATACATAAAGGCATCCCAGGAACCATGTTTTCCACCATCCAGGAAGCACACCATGTCATATTCGTGCATCTCTGAAGAATTGCCACGGGAGCCAAATAGGCTTCGGATAACCTTCCCCCCGTGCTCCTTCTTGAACGGCGCTTGTCTCAAATGTGGGGCGGTGATGCTTTCTCCACACTTCTTCACATCATACAAGCACATCACTCTCTTGCCCTCCACCCCCCCGTATCTTGCCAATCTCAGCATCTGCGATTGCAGTTGCAAATGCGCCCTCCGATGTTGGCTCGACAACGAGTTTCACCCGTTGCTTCACCATATGCATCGCCATGGACTTGTATTTGAGCACCTTGTCATCAGTTGTCTCTAAGTCCTGCAGGGTCAGGCAGCATCATGGGCATGGATGCATGAATGAAACCATCAAAACAATAAAGCCCAACATGATGATAGCAAAGCCAATCCTCAATGCAAGTGGTCAGGATGTGCTCAGGTACATCGTCAAACTCTTTGATTGTGCTTGCAGCTGCTGGAGCCGTGCCTTGCAATGTCATCGTTGAAGACTGTTTCTTCTCCTGTTCGATCTGCTTGTTGATATCCTTCAGCCAATGAAAAAATGGGACCAAAGATTCAAACCTTAAACATCATCTTCCTCAGTGGGTATTAAAACTCTAAATGCCTATTTCGAACATGGCTTTCAAAACCCAATGAATGTGCAGCAACTGGCCTTCACCAACTCTTCAATGCCGCCATAGCTCAATGCTTCTGCAGCGGTCTTCCGGTTCTTGAGCGCTTGTTTGAGGACAGCATCATGCCCGTTGCTGAAAATCAACCCCTGTCAAACAGCAACTTCAAAGGATCACACAAACAAACAAAACTTTGTGACCAAACCCCAAAGCAAACCTGGTGACTAGACCCAGCCTCGGCCAGAAGAAGAACTTGGCGTTCAGATTCTTTCCAGCTCGCGTGCCATGTCAAATCAGGCTGTGTCTCATCCATGGCCCAACCAAACAGATTTCGATGCGTGCTATGGTCCTACAGCGCCAGTCTGATAGCCTTCCGAGTGTCAGCATTCTCGACATGCTCGTCCACGAATGTGGACAACATATGCGATGCTAAGTCCTTCTTGAACATCCAAAGGTCCACCACTCCCTTGTTGCCCCCACCGCTTGAGATCTGTCTGGTTGTCAGGTCACCTTTCTGCAAGTAGCCAGAAACAAAGTACATCTCCATGGACCTCAGCACCCACAGCAGCATATCCTGTCCAATCAGCCACAGGGTTGCACAAATAATTATGGTATATATACACTACCAAGTCCTGGTACACCAAGTTCCAGGATTTGGTCAGGTCTTCAACATCCAAGACCTGGAAAATATATTTGTTAATGCAAAACTAGATTCAACCAAACAACCTTTCGAATAAAGTCCTGTGTGCGTGTCTTTGAAATCAACAGCTGATACTGGACAATGCCGTTCAATGGAGCATTGTGCCCATACATTGTGTTCATCTTGTCCAGCATACTCGCGATGTCGTTGTGGCCTAGCATCCTGTCCCAAACAGTCATTGCTTGGTCCACCCATGATTCGCTAATGGTCTCGGACTCTGCTGCCGTTGAGCGTTCCTGTCAACATGATTCAGTGAATGAGTGTATTGAAGTTTTGACCAAAAGCAAAAAGATTTGACCAAAGGACCACTCAAACAAAGCAACTAAGAATATGTGTCCTGATTGTAGAGCTGCGCCACACGACCAGCGCTTAGAGCACCAAGTTCACGTTCCTTTCGCTGACGAAAAAGGCCAAGGTGGTAGACCTTCTGCAGCACCGTCCACCCAAATGCGTGGTAGTTGGATACCGCGTTCTCTCGTAGAGAATCCGATCTGGCTGACTTGTCATCAAAAGAAGGCAGGAACTCCCAAACAAACATTGTGCTGAGCATCACCCTGAGCCAGGAATTCCGCACTGCATCTGGTACCTTCTGGTCGACCAACTCAGCCACCCGCAAGACAAAAGCATGTTGGAGTTCTGGAGGCGACACAGATTCCATGGCACCCCGTGACGTCATCACGCCCTCATTCATCTGCTTCTGGCTGACCGCCACCACAACCACCTCTGGGAATCTTTTTGGAGCCTCGACCCCTCCAAAGTAGTATTTCTTCAGATTCTCCACAGCGGACTCATTGTAGGGCACACCTGCCGACGTGGTGAATCCAATCTTGCACCAGGCAAAGTTCCCTCCGGCAGCATACTGCTTCGTGTTGGCCATGGACTGTTTGAAAGCAGCTGTATCATATGGTTCCTGGAACCCAGACTTCTCTGAGTCACCAGTTGCCTTGCAGCTGCAGCAGCAACACACCCCCTGTTCCCCCGTCCCAGAATGGTAAAACAAAAGTCAACCTAAGCACTCTTCCAGACACTGAGCCCCTGCCTCAATTTGCAAAGGATTCATGTCACTGGCGTTCTGAAAGATTGGGTGGCTAGTCACAGTCTCCCAAGCAATGTGAAGCCGCTCGAGGTACGCCACGTTTGCATGATGCACTGGCATTTCTTCAACTGAACCTGCTGTAGGGCCAGCACCATGGTCTGCTGCAGCATCTTCAATGGCCAAAGGCTCTGCCACTGCCACTGCGGCCTTGCCCTTCGCCTTCGCCTTACCCTTGGCAGCATTGGCCTTCTTGGGTGCCATGACAGCGACAGTTGGCAGCCAGTTGGATCAACTGTGAACAATGAGCCAAGCCAATGTCTGGCTGCAAGTCAATGCAAATACAGTAGAAGCAAGTACTAATACACGCAATCACACATTCAAATCAAAGGAATAAAAGCCCATAATTCAGATTCAAATAGGCAAACAAAACTTTGACGAAACGGTAAAAAAGTCAGACTGCAATCAACAAACAACTTTTTCCATCTCACAGCTCACCTGTAAGATTGAACTCGCAGCTCACAGAACTTGGACTACCCCTAAAGTCAACAGAGCGCATTGCCCCTCAAGCCTGTACCTACCCCATCATTGCCCCTCAATAGCCTAACGCCCAAGCTGCCTGAACTAATACCGCCTCGACCACATTCACACTCATGGCGTTGCCCAGCAATTGATTCATACTAGCATCACCTGGTCTTTCCGGGCCACAATGAAAGCCTTGCAAAGCCATTCTGTCCTCAGTAGTGAGATACCTGCCCAAGGAACTACACCAGTAACTGCGAGCTCCGGGCCTGCCATGAATGAGACATGGACATTCATCCCTGCGGAAACTCAAGAACCTTTGCGTGCGCCCACAGTCGACAACCCAGCACTCCTGATCAGGGTTGCCGCCCGCTGCCCTGATCCTTTCATAAGCCATCATCACATTCTGGCGCCCTCTTTGATCGCTTTCTGGGGGTAGTGTCCCACCTGCAGATTCGAAGGCAAGGCCCCCCCACCCACAAAAACCCATTTCCATATTAAACAATGGTGTGTGTTTGACACCTTGATCAGGGTCCCACATGCCCACACTTGATCGGATTCATTTGAAGCCATAAAATGCATTTAACAGTTGCAACAGTCTGCTAAAACAGGCTGGCTCACAGTGGAACATCAAAATCCCATGTTACAAAAGCTTGCATCATGGACTCTCAATGAAAGAGAAGCCTTTAACTTAAATGGAAAGAAACACAAAGCAAATCTCCAGCCTGTTGGGGGAAGAGCACGACCTCTGCTCAAGAACACATCCAAGGGAGAAGCTGCCGTGGGAGTAGGCCATGTGAATTGGCGTCGAACACTCGACCTGAGGATTCCCACGATGTACAGTCTTTGCCTTTGGTGTGGTATTCCGTAATCTTTGGTGTTGAGGATCGACTGCCAGGTTCGGTATCCAAGCTCCTCCAGCGAGTTGAGGATCCAACATAGCAATGGCAAGTGGTCCTTTGACAGGATGCGTTTCACGTTCTCCAGCACAACTAACTCTGGCTTCTTGCACTGGATGTAGTCAATGCAATGGGCTACCAGCAGCCCCCCTGTTAAGATGGTCCTTGACTCCAAGCTGAAGGCCAGCGTTTGAAAATGGCTGGCGTGGAAATCCAGCTCCATACCATTGGACATGTGGAGCACTGGAGGCATTGCGGTATATGATGTTTGCGTAGAGCTTGTGTGGGCATTGGTATTGCAACAATATCCTTTGACACTGACGGTTCGTTTCACAGCAAAACATGTTCACCCCCCTTGTAGCCCAACCTATCCAGCACTTTGTGAGCAGCCTGCTCAAAGCTGCCGATGCCAGAAAAGTCAGTGCCAATCAACACTGCCTGAGTTCAAGGAATCTCTGTCTTCAAAGCCTCTGTGAATGATTTGTGTTTAGACTCTAAAGTATATATTGTACATTTTCAAATTTGATGTTCGTTGTTCCTTAAAATCTATTTTTTCCTCTGCCAGTGAAACCTGCTGTCTATTCAATTCACACACAGAAAGAATGATAACACATTCTCATAACATGTACTCTATGTGTATATATATACTGTATGGATATATTCGAAAACACGTATAAGATCATTTATGGAAAAAAAGGCATATCAGTTTTGTTCTGATGGTGTTCTCATGCGTTTATATATATATATATATATTTCACACACATATTGAAACCAGGAAACACAATCATGACCAGGGTGCATTTGGAGGTAATCTTCCAACAGATTTGCAAATGACGCCTTCAGCAAGTTCTGCATCAACATCAGCACTTTCCTCTCTGTGCCGTTTTCTGCTGCGCTGATTCACCATAGGTCAAGGAACACACAAAATGAAAATGGTGTTTGAACCCGAAACTCTGAAGGACATCAACGGAATGATGGTGAATGGCATCCGCCAAGCAAAAAAAGAACATGATGCAAATTCAGCATTGCTCTGGCACACTGACGTCAGCATGGGCATGTCATTGTTTGGTTGTCCTGGGAAAGGCAGCAACTTGTAAAACAATGAAACTAAATTGATTGACTGATCGTTGATGGGTATGCTTTTGCAAACCTGTGTAGGTGTCAACAACACCCTCTCAACACTCGTGAGTGCTTGTGAGCTGGGACTGTTGAGGAGAGTGAGTCACAACACCCTCTCAACACTTGTGAGTGCTGGTGACTGTGGAGAAGAGTGGTTCACAACGACACCCTCTCAACG